TCCAGTCTGGGTGACAGAGTGAGACTCCAACTCAAAAACAAAACAAAACAAAACAAAACATTTTTACCTAAAAATGGCCAAAACTCCCCTACTAGTATTTTCTTTGAAACAGAATTTAGGCCAGGCACAGTGACTCACGCCTACAATCCCAGCACTTTGGGAGGCCGAGGTGAGAGGACTGCCTAAGCCCACAGGTTGGAGATTAGCCCAGGAAACTTGGTGAGACCTTATCTCTACAATAAATCAAAAAATTAGCCAGGCATGGTGGCACATGCCTGTAGTTCCAGCTACTTAAGGCTGAGGTGGAAGAATCATCTGAGCCCAGCAGTGGAGGCTACAGTGACTGTGAGCATGCCACTGCACTCCAGCCTGAATGACAGAGTGAGACTCCAACTCAAAAACAAAACAAAACAAACAAAAAAACAGAATTTAGTCTTTTTTATATTACAAATGATAAAACTAAACTATATTTACAATAAATTTCTTTTTTTTTTGAGTTGGAGTCTCACTCTGTCGCCCAGAGTGGAGTGCAGTGGCCACTCCCGACCACCGCAGCCTCGACCTGCTGGGCTCCGGCGATCCTTCCGCCTCAGCCTTCCAAGTAGCCAGAATTACAGGCATGCGCTACCACGCCCGGCTGATTTTTTGATTTATTGTAGAGATAAGGTCTCGCTGCCCAGGCGGGTCTCGAACCCGCGGGCTCAGGCAATCCAGTCACTTCAGTCTCCCAAAGGCGCGGGATTACAGGCTGAGCCACCGAGCCAGGCATATTTATAATAAATTAACAGACCCCAAAAGTAAACCACTTTTGCCTTTGACACTCAGGGACTAATCTCATAAAGTCATCTTAATATAAATATACAATTTAGTTATTTGTATGATAGATCCTTGATTCACAAATTTATTTATTTATTTATTTTTGAGTTGGAATTTCACTCTGTTGCCTAGGCTGGAGTGCAGTAGCACACTCATGGCCACTGTAGCCTCGACCCACTGGGCTCAGTTGATCCTTCCACCTCAGCCTTCCAAATTTTTTTATTTATTGTAGAGACGAGGTTTTGCCAAGTTGCCCAGATTAGTCTCAAACCCCTAGGCTCAAGGAATCCTCTCACTTCCGCCTCCCAAAGTGTTGGGCTTACAGGTGTGAGCCACCACGCCTGGCCTTTATGTTTCTGAGTGGAGATCTCACTCTGCTGTCCAGGATGGAGTGCGGTAGCATAAGCATAGCTCATTGCAGCCTCACCTCCTGGGCTCCGGTGATCTTTCCTCCTCAGCCTCCTGAGTAGCTAGGACTACAAGCACAAGCCATCACGCCCAGCTAGATCATCACAAATTTAAAATGCAGAGTATCTCTGGGAATGGTGGCTCATACCTGTAATCCTAGCACTTTGGGAAGTCAAGGAAGGAGGATTACTTGAAGTCAGGAGTTTGAGACCAACCAGGGCAAGACAGCAAGACCTCAATATAAAAAAAAAAAAAAACCCAGCCATAGTGGCTTGAACTACTTGGGAAACTCAGTTGAGAAGATTGCTAGAATCCAGAAGTCCAAGGATGCAGTGAGGTATGACTGCACTACTACACTCCAGCCTGAGCAATAGAGCAAGACCCTGTCTCTAAAAATAAATAAATAAGCCAGGCACAGTGGCTCACACCTGTAATCCCAGCACTTTGGGAGGCAGAGGCAAGAGGATTCCCAAGTCCAGGGATTTAAGACCAGCCTGGGGAACTTGGCAAGATCTTACCTCTACAATAAACCAAAAAATTAGCTGGATGTGGGGGCACACACCTGGTTCTAGCTACTTGGAAGGTTGAGGCAGAAGGATCACCTGAGCCCAGCAGGTAGAAGCTGTGGTGACCATCACCAAGCCACTGTTTTCCATCCAGCCTGGGCAACAGAGTGTGAGACTCCAACTCCGAATAAATAAATAAGTAAATACAATTCAGAGTTTCAATTAACTATAATTATCCAAAGGACCATGACCTAAAGTAATCTATAATTTTGCTGAGAAGAGAACTTGAATAGCCTTCATTAGCATATAAGAACAATTCAGTCATTCAGTGAGTGAGACCTGTCAATCATCCTACATCCAATCAGCATTGTACTCTCAATACCATTATGAGACAGTTAATATTCATCCAGTGTGAATTACATACATGTATCAGTTATACTTCATTACATTTTACAGGAGAAATTATATCTTATAAAGGTATTAGGAAATTTGGTGATTTGATTTATTTGTTTCGGTTTTTTTTGAGTTGGAGTCTCACTCTGTTGCCCAGGCTGGAGTGCAGTGGCATGCTCACAGCTGCCACAGTCTTTACCTGCTAGGCTTAGGCAATCCTTCCACCTCAGCCTTCCAAGTAGCTGGAACTATAGCCACGCACAAATTTGGTGATTTGTACAAGTTTTAACATAAATTCCTTTCTAAATGTCAAGAAGTCATTTTTTCCATACAGAAAAAAAATCAATGATAACAAATGCAGAATAATCATAAATGAGAAAAAACAGTAATTAGAGAAAGAAAGGTTTTAAGGCAGGCTTTTAATATCCTTTCAGTCTTTGGGGGAAAAAAGCACATATCAAGTAGAAATGAGAGTAGAAGATACAATTGCCTATTTCTGTCTATCTTTGTATATGTAGACATCAAATCATGCCTACTTTGAGATATGGTTAAAAGAAATGCACCTTGTTCATAATCGCCAACAGTTCACTAAGCACAAGACGCAATCGACGAGGTGAATCACTGTGCTCAAATTCTAATGTCAGACCATGCTGAAGCTGTGATACCAGGATGCTCTCTCCACTGCCTCCTCCAAGTTTATGCCTAATTAATGTAAACATGCAAAATAATTATGATAACATTGTTATAGAAATAATTGTGTAAATGTTATCTTTTATTGAAATAAGCTACAAAAGAATATATAAATCCTAAATGTGTTTATTAATTCTGAAATACTATTTAGCTTGCCTGTGTATTTTAGGAATTCACACAAGATATAAAGACTCCATGAAACTGATAGTAATTGGCTTGATTATTTTAGCACAAATACAACAGTATGTGGCCAAACTTCTCTAGACAACATTTTATAATATGGAATTCAAAAGATACTAGAATTTTAACTATAAATAGAAAAGACCTAATTAAAATATTCTCCAGAATTCTCATTTTATCTTTTCTGGAGGAGCATTTGATTCCCTATTTCTTTGCAAAGCAAGTAAATTCCAATCCATATATTACATAACACAACATTACCTAAGCTGCTGTTCTTTGCTGGCATCCTGTTCTAAAGCATGAAAGTCCACAGATAACAATGCAACAATGGAGTTGACAGCTTCTACTCCAGAGAGAAGGCGAAGGATAAGTTTTTTATCCTGAGCCCAGCTTTGGCTCTGGTCAGCAGGAGCACAGAGTGCCATCCGAACCAAGCAAGGTAGGAGAAGTCTTAATTCTGGATCACTTAAAGACGCCAGGCGAACAACATCCACCTTCTGCATCGCCTCGAAAGCAAAAGGGCTGACAAACTGAAGGCTTGTACACTCAGTCATCATCACTGTCGATCCTAATGGTAAAAATACAAATGAAAGTAGGGGGGTAACTTCCACATGCATAAACACTCCTGTTTTTAAAAACCCTGAAAAATGTGGTGTATCTTTAACAGCCCCCTATGTTGGCAATGTTCCTGGCATAATTAAAGATGAGGCTCTCTGTCTCCCTATGCTTCTACTGCCATCTGGAAAAAAGACAAAGAAAACAAGAGTATATTAATGTTTCTTCCAGTCTCAGGAGCTTCTGCTCTAATACTCTCATTTTACAGAGAAGAACCAGGAAGCCCAGAGAGTGTAAGTAACAGACCCAAAGTAATATTACTAGTTAGTAGCACAATCCAAGGCTGAACCCTCATCTACTAAATCCCAGAACAAGACTCTCCAACATATCAGTCATATGAGTTCCACAAAAGGTAAACAAAAGTAAATGAATGGTCACAGTTAAGAATGCTCCTCTTCCATACCTCTTTAATTTCACATGCCTACCCGACAGTTTACAGAACTGTCGGGCTTCTCCTTTCTACCCTCCATGAGTCGGTGGAAAAACTGGTAAATCACCTCACTGGGCAGAATCAATGTCAGATTCAAGGCCGTGGAGGCCCTAACACTGTCTTATGTCCCCCTGTGATACTGGGTTAAAAAAACAACAAGAGATGTGTGGGTGCTATGGAAGACAGACGAGTCCCACTTGGGCACTTCTCTGTTTTCAAGAGTAATCCAAGGCACACAAAACAAACAAACAAACAAAAAGCTGGGAGCAGGGAGCCAAAGCCATCCCCTCGTAAGCCCAACCGACCAGCAGAACCGAGAGTAAAAGTCGAGGGCAAAAACGTTGCGCTGCTTTCAAGGAGGAGCTGGTCTTTTAACAGAGGGGCGGGCTGACGGAGCGGAGGCGCCGAGACCCGAGTGCTCATAGTCTCGCCCCGGGCGTCACGAGAACCAACAAGTCCCTCAGGCTGAGAAAAGTCTGGCCAGCTGCCGACACGGACCGCCTGAGAAGCGGGCGCTTCATACCTGAAGGTCTACCCTCCAGCCTCACGGGACCCCACCCGGATTCCGCGTCCTAGAAGCGGGACACGGCGGAAACGGAGAGCGCGGTCCGAAGTCGGGCCTAGGCGATAATCCGGATCCCCAAACCCCAGCTGGGCCCCGAGTCGATCTGGGCACTAAGAACTCAGACGCCGGGACGGGTCGCTGAGACGAAGGGGGCAGGATGGGGACACCGCACAGAGGCAGAACCGGGACTGGAGAGCGGGAAAGCGGAACAGACTTTTTCGACCTGCACCCAGCACCTTCATTCATCCCCAGCGTCTGACTCTCGTCGGCCACCGTAGTGTACTGAGAGGAAGAGCGGCTGCGAGGGGGAACCCGGGGACGTCGGCGCCCAGGCCGCCGTGCGCGTGCGCGGCCCTGCCCCTTCCTCCGCCCGGCTCCCTCTGCCCAACTTCATCTCCGAAAACGGAGAAACGTGGTTTCGGGCGGTTTTCCAGTGCCTACCAGCTGTGTCCTTTTAGACAAGGCACTAAGCCACTCAGAGCTTCAGCGTCACCATCACAGGATCGCCGTGGCATTCAGACGACATAGCGTATGTAAAAAGACTGTCAAAGTTGTCCCCAAGAAAGGGATTGGCAATAGTGGGAAACGGCCCGGGGAGGGGGGCACAACAGGGGTACCTGCAAAATGAACACTTGTATACCTAACCCTGAATTGCGCCCCACATGTTTAAAATAAACAAAACAAAACAAAAAATCTTTAAAAATAAAGTCCCTATTATCCTCGGACACTAATGGAATCAGACTGTATTCTAACTCTGCCTGTACCCTCCCACCCAGCTGAGTTCTAGAATCCCAAGATATGTAGAATTTAAAAAGTAATCGAATCCTAAACTTTCTTCTGTTCTCTACCTCCCACACTCACTGTCAGAAGTTAAAATGTCTCCCTTTCAGGGTTCTTAACGTAGGGTCCATAAATCTTTAGAGGGGCGGTCAATAGAGATTCAGGAATTCTCTGGAATCCTGTTCAGAACTGAGTGCTCTGGAAAAAGGGTCTAAAACTTTCAGCAACTTCTCAAAAGGAGCCAGACACCCAGAAAAGAAGCCCTGGTTCATATATTAAGAACTGCAGCCTAGCCGGGCTCGGTGGCTCAGCCTGTAATCCCGCGCCTTTGGGAGGCTGAGGTGAGTGGATTGCCTGAGCCCGCCGGTTCGAGGCCCGCCTGGGCAACCAGACCTCATCTCTACAATAAATCAGCTGGGCGTGGTGACGCATGCCTGTAATTCCGGCTACTCGGAAGGCTGAGGTGGAAGGATCTCCAGAGCCCAGGAGGCAAGGTTGCAGTGGCCGGGAGTGGCCACTACACTCCAGTCTGGGCTACCGAGTGAGACTCCAACTCA